TATCTTGCTTTGGTTTGTGAAAAGTTGGATTTCGGTTGATGAGGGTCAATGTAATTGAGAGGCTTTCAGAGAAATCCGTCGCCAACCGACTCAAGGCTCTCTGGTCTGTGACACGATTGCCCTCTGCATCTGTTAGTTCAGTAATACGGCTCCTCCGCCTTCGGTATTTAATCTGACGGTGATAGAAGGCCGTGTTTCTGTCCCCTAGGTAGGACCAGTCCCTCGTTACCTTTTGCAAAAGCAGCATTTCTTCTTGTCGAATAACATCATCTAACACTGCCTGAAGTCGTTTGCCCAAATCGTCACAGCCTTGATCGGGGATATACCAGTTCACCGTATTCTTGTTGATACCGGGGCTTATTCAAGCATTCTAATGTACCGAGCGTTCGAAAAAATGAGGATAGACCCGACCGAGATTAAACCCTGTGATGATCGCATTCAAGGGTTTAACGAAAGCGTTGCTCGACCAATTGGCGAAATCACGCTCCCGGTTCACTTCGGAACTCCTGGATCGGTTTCAAAGGTCATATGAAGACCTTTAAAATCATGGACATAAAAAATGAATACAATGCTTTAATCGGTAGAACGACTCTCTACAAACTTCGAGCTGCGGTATCGATTTTTCATTATGCTATAAGGTTCCCAACTGTAAATGGAGAAGGAACCCACTACGGAGACCAACAAGAAGCCCGAGAGTTGTCTTTGTCAACTCCATCTCGGGAGATTCACATGATGAAGAACTTTGACATCCATACTAACACTAATGAAGGATGCTCAAGTTAAGTCTTACCAGAAAGTAATTTGCCACCTTGTCTTTCAGAAAAGACATAACCCCAAGTTCCAACTTCAGAAATGGGGGCCATCTCGGTTCCCCACAATGTCAGTGAACCTGATTTCACCCAAGATCGTGGGAGGCGACCAGGGAAAGAACCGATCAAGGAAGATGATGACTTGGACCCTCGCACGTTGTTTAGAGAAAAGAAAAACCGCGAACACGCTGAACCTGTTGAAGGTGTTGACACCGTTTTCATTGATGAACCCACATGTTTCAAGTCGGTCAGGATCGGGGCTAACCTACGAGATCCCATCCGAAATCAGCTCATTCAATTCCTTCTAGAGAATCCCGATGTCTTTGCTTCGAAACATGAAGATATGAAGGGAATAGATCCAAATGTGGCGTGCCATCATTTGAATCTTGATAAAACCGTGAAACCGTTATTCAGAAACGCCGAAAACTTGGACCCGAGCGACAGAAGGCTTTGGAAGAAGAAGAAGTCAAAAAGCTCATCGACAATAAATTCATTAAGGAAGCAAAATACCCGACATGGGTATCCAATTTCGTCTTGGTTAAGAAGAGTAACGACCTCTGGCGCCTATGCATCGATTATTCCGACTTAAATGAAGCCTGCCCCAAAGACAGTTATCCTTTACCACACATTGACTATATGGTGGATGCAACATCGGGACATGAACTTATGAGTTTTATGGATGCCAATTTTGGGTATAATCAAATTCCCATGCACCCGGACGATGCTGAACATTCTTCCTTTTATTCCGCCCGAGGCTTGTATTGTTGCACTATGATGACTTTTGGCCTAAAAAATGTTGGGGCCACTTATCAAAGGTTAGTCAACAAAAATGTTTGCCGCACTTATCGGTAACACAATGGAAGTATACGTCGACGATATGTTGGTGAAATATGTCCATGCTGCAGATCACATTGACCACTTGCGCGACATGTTCAACATCCTTAGAGAAATCTCCATGGTTTTAAATCCGAAGAAATGCACGTTTAGAATTAGTTCTGGTAAATTTCTGGGATACATGGTCAGTCAAAGAGGCATAGAAGCCAACCCTACGAAGATCCAAGCAATTCTTGATCTCGAACCACCGAAGTCGGTTAAAGTCGTGCAAGCCCTCACCAGCCGACTTGCCGCGTTGAATAGATTTATCTCGAAATCCACTGATCATTGCAAACCTTTCTTTGATGTTATTAAAAAAGGGAAACAATTCGAATGGACTGAAGAATGTCAACAAGCCTTAGTCAAGATCAAAGAAGTACTCACTTCCCCTCCAACTCTACAAAACAAAAACCGACACCCGACGAAATATTATATATTTATCTAGGAGTGAGTGAAGTCGCAGTCAGCGCTGTCCTTATTCGGGAAGAAGGACACCAGCAAGCCCCTACTTATTACATTAGTAAGGCCCTACATGATGACGAAATCTGATATCCCCCCATGGAGAACCTTGCATTCGCTCTAGTGACTGTTGTTCGAAAATTACGTCCCTATTTCTTGGAACATACAGTTGTAGTACTTACCTCATATCCACTAAGACAAATTCTACATCGACCCGATACTTCGGGCAGAATGGTCAAGTGGGCCATTGAACTCGGGCAATTCGACATACAATATAAACCGAGAACGGCCATCAAAGCTCAAGTCTTGTCCGACTCGCCGAGTTCATCCTGGCTATCGAATCAGTGAGTAACGAACAAACATGGACTCTACATGTTGATGGATCCTCGACTACCCAACGATCCAGAGGCGGCATAGTCCTTACCAGTCCCGAAAATCAGATTTTTTGTCACTCCGTCAAGTTCCTATTTCCCGTAACCAACAATGAAGCTGAATACGAAGCTCTGATTTGTGGTCTTAATCTGGCGGAGTCTATGAACGTAACCTCACTTAAAGTTTTCTCCGACTCGCAACTGCTTGTGAATCAAATCAATGGCGGATTCGAGGTAAAAGAACCTCGGTAGGCACCATATCTGATGCTGACGAGAAAGAAACTTATCAAAATCGATGCGCACCTAGAACATATACTATGATCGTCCAATGTACAAGCCGATGCCCTTTCAAGATTGGCAGCAAACACCGGTATAGATAACATAGAGTACGTCCAAGTCGGTCAACAAGAAAAACCATCAATATCACTCGAAGATGTTATGAACGTTGATGCAAACATTCCAAGAAGTGACCCAACTTGGATGGATCCCATCATTTCCTACTTGAAGACTGGGGCCTTACCCGATAACCCCATTGAAGCTCGGTCTCTTCGCACCCGAGCAGCTCGCTTCACTTTTGATAACGACACGCTTTACAAAAGAGGTTATTCACTTCCCTTATTAAAATGTTTAAACGAATGAGAATCCAAATACGTTCTGGAAGAAATCCATGAAGGTGTTTGTGGGACTCATCTCGGAGCGCAGGCTTTAGCTTACAAAATCTTACGACAAGGGTATTATTGGCTAACTCTCAAATCAGAAGCTGCCGATTGGGTACGCCGATGCCCGAAATGTCAGATATTTGCTCCTAATGTTAATCAGCGTCTCGAGGAGATTCAGTCGATTTACAGTCCATGGCTATTTGCTAAATGGGGAATCGACCTGATTGGACCACTCCCGACTGCCAAAGTAGGAGTGAAGTTTGCCATCGTAGCTGTGGATTATTTTACTAAATGGGCCCGCTGGCCACTATAACTGAACAAAAAGTCATTCGTTTCATTTGGAAGAACATTGTATGTCGGATCGGAGTACCGAATACCATTATAATCGACAACGGGCGTCAATTCGAAGGGAGAAAGCTCGACGTATTCTGTGGAAAGTACAACATTAGGCATTTCTTCTCTTCCCCATATCATCCACAATCCAACGGACAAGTTGAAGCGGTGAATAAGATCATTAAAAATGGTTTGAAAGCTCGACTCGATGCTGCTAAGGGTGCCTGGCCCAAAGAATTACCACATGTCCTTTGGGCTTACCGAACAACTTCCCGTGTGTTAACCGGCGAAACACCTTTTTTACTTACGTATGGGATGGAGGCTATGGTTCCCTTGAAGTCGGATTTCCGACATACCGAGTATAACATTTCACCGAGGACACGAATTCAGAAAACATTAAAGCTAGTCTTGATCTAATAGAAGAAACCCGAACCCGTGTCGAAATACGGAACGCTGCATACAAACGGCGGAATGAAAAATACATTAATGTCAAAGTTAAACCCCAGATGTACGGAGTCGGCGATTTAGTTCTCAAAAGGATTACTGGACCTGACCCCGAGCCGTTAAAACCGAAATGGGAAGGACCCTTCAAAATCAGTCAGTTTCTACCGAAAGGAGCCTACCGACTCAAGTATCCCGACGGAACTCAGCATCAGTACCTACGGAACGTTGTCTTCCTCAGAAAATACTATCAGTAATGAAAGAAATAACGATGTAAATTCCCTCTTACTTTTTCTTACATCATAATGAAAGAATTTCTCCCTACTTTTTCCTATTATAATTTCTTCATCAGACCCTGAAGTTGGTCTGATAAAAGGCTACTCTTTTACCAAATCCTGAAGATGATTTGGTGAGGTTCGTTCTTTATTTGGATCCTGAAGATGATCCGACTTGGCCACACTCCTTTCAAATCCTGAAGATGATTTGACGTTGTCAATTTCCTTTCAAAATTCTTAAGATAATTTGGTGAACCTCGTCCTTTTCCCAATCGCATATGATGATCTGGCATAGCCGTTCTTTGTAAAGGCACTTGTAGGTGATGGAAATAGTTCATCTCCCATTAAAGCCCCGTAGTTGGCTTTGGTGAACTCCTAGATTAAAGTCAGAAAAATAAAAAGCCGACTTCCTTAAATTTAAATTCCTTAATTCAAGTAGGGAACAAATAAGACCGACATTCCTGATTAATCCAATTGGAACTTTCTATAGTCTCGGTATTCAATGTGTTTTTAAGTTCTCAAAAAAAAAAACACACACACACACACACACACACACACATCTTTTCATCAATTACTTGTCTTGAAACCGAGATCATAGACCTTGCTTTTTATCTTATTTAAGGTTCTTGCAAAACAAAAACAACTTGTAAAAAGAAAAAAACTACTCATTCATTCGTTTCTATTTTAGCATAGTACTTCAAGTGCCGACATGCCAACACTTGAACAAAAAAAAAAAAAACACAAAACAAACAAACAAAAAAGACAAATCAGATATGAAGATCAAGGGCCTGTCGACGTCCCGGCGCCATCACTTCCTTCCTCAGCAGCCCTCTTCACTATCTCCTCATCTTCGTTCTCAATTATTTCCAACATGGCTTTCCCGATAGACTCCAAGGCGGCATCTTATTTTGCTTGAGTCACAGTTTTGATTACTTTTTCCGAGAATAATTCTTCCTCGGTTTGCATTTCCAAAGATGTCACTGGAATAACTGGGTTTGGAGCCGACAATTTCTGAACCTTTCTCGCGGCAAAATCAAGCATAGCCTGACGAAGTTGTGTAGGAGACATGTTCTCAATAATCTGCGCCACGGTCATATCAGTCAAAGTGTTGATGAAGACTTCCGCTAACCCCATCCTCTTATCTCTCTCGCCTTCAAGAATCATCTCGGCATAAGCACGGCGCGGACGGAGTTCACGTTCCTCACTTAAAGGAATGATGTCGGGATTCGCCTTCTCTTTCTCCTTCTCGGCCCGGCTGAATAACCACCCGCAAAAGTCGATCTCATCCTCGTCAGCCGGCACATGCATTGACTTAATGGTAGAGCTAAGCCCATACTTCTCCAATTTCCTCAATAGATAAATTCTCAAGTCATCGACGGTATATAACCCCTCACCGACTTTTTCGATAAACCACCTAAGACTAATACAGGTGTTCATCTCGAGGTCCACAGCGGCATTGTCATCTTCTTGCTCATCCCCTTTTCCCAGATTTTTTCCAACCTCCACACCTTCCTCATACTTCAATTTTCTGAAATTCAAATTTTCTTCCTCAAGACGAGCTAAGTCCTTTTCATGACTTTTGCGAGCTCGGATCAAAATGGCTTCTTTTTCGGAGCGATCGCGCCGAGTTGCTAGATGCTCGGTGCGCTCCCTCAACAGCTGTTCATCTTTAGCCTTGGCAGTTTGCTCAGCAATCGCAAGTCGGTCCACCAAATCTTTCAACTCGCTTTTCATGCGCTTGTTTTCCGAGGTCAACCCAATGATCTCGGTCTCGGCCACCTTCAATTGGTCGTTTTTCTCAGCAATCGAGGCTATCAAGCCTACTTTTTCTTCTTCTAAAGACTCCGCCGTGCCGGTTTGAACTCCCAGCTCCTCCCTCTTCTCATCCAGGTCGTTGAGGCACTGACGGTAATTGTCCTCTGCGGACACCAGACTAACTAAAGCACGACTGAGACACGCCTTAGTGTATCCGAATCTGTGAAATCCAGAGACCTCCGAGATCCCAGCATTAATTTTCGGGTCCCAAGCCTTTAATGGGATCTGGGCCGCTTCCATCACTGTCCTCGGAAAATGGTTTCAGCTGGGAAGTTTTGGACCATCAACCGTCACAAAATTTGTGTACCAATCATCTATTGCGTTGGGCATTTTTACCGTTTTAGCTCGCTCCTTGTCGATTTTCATATAAGAGCCTTCGCCGGCCACAAATGCAACTTCTTTTCCCTTTCCTTTTTCTTTTTCTTTTTCCTCTTTTTCCTTTACTCTTTCTCTTCTTCTTTTTCTTTCTCCTCCTCTCCACTATCATGTCGTTGTTTGTCCTCCTCTCACCTTCACTTCGCGTGATTTGAGTGTGCTTTTTGCTAACCCTCCTTAAAGGAAATTCTTGCTCTCCAACTGTTTCCCTACTCACCTCGGTTTCTGCTGGAGTAACTTCTTTTGTCGGTTCTGGGTCAGCTTGGTTAATAGCCTCGACAATGGTCACATGAGTTGGAGTCGGTATTATTGCGGTTCGACTTGGCTCACCGCCTTGAGCTCCAATGACCAGAGGTGTCTCTGCATCAGCGCCGGATTTCCCAGTGAAATTGTTCTTCCTTAGAGATTTTATTATGTTCATGCGATCCATCTCGGTAAATCATGTTTCCTTGTACTTTCCAACTTTAGAACGCAAGTCACGGTTGGGATGTCGGTTCCAGTATGTCCGCGTGTCCTTTACTGACGTAAACCCGAAATATCCCAACGGATAATAAACTGCATACAGAGAAAAGGAAAAATTAAATAAATCCCATCGGATTTAACTTCATTTACACATTACCCTTTGATCAAGTATATGTATCCCATACCTGGGGTAAATTTCCTCTAAGCAACTCCCGGCGACAAGCCTACTCGTTCGAGTCTTGAGTCGTGCACCAGCCGTTTATAACTCCTTTTTGCTTTGCTAAGCTCGAATAACTTCTGTCTATTCAATCCAACTTCGGCACTAAGCTTTGGTTCCTTCTTAAGCGTGGCTAGAAGTATGAAAAGGGCCGACCTATTAGTACAAAAGAAAATAAACCCAAAATTAGAAGAAGAATGGAGTGTCAGAATAAACTTACTATAAGATGAAGAAATGCAAGTCGGAATGGTCATTCCACTGATCAAAGATTCTTTGAAGAAATCGGCCGACGGCCAATCTCCTCCAACCCACAACCATTCCTCTTGAAAACCGTGAAGGATTTCCGGTATCTCTATGACCAATTCTTCTATTGCTAACTCCATTTTCGGTTTACCCGCACAAAAAAAAAAAAAAAGCAACACAAGGGGTCGTATACCTCTCTATCTAGACTTTTTCTAAAAGTAAAAAGAGCCCTCATATCTGACACAGAAGGGAGATTATACCTCTCCTCTTTTAATAAAACCAATAAACCTATTATCTTTTTCAAGCTATTCGGAGCTATTTGGCTCAAGTTTAATTTCCAATCCCGCAAATAATCAGTTATCAAATTAGGGAGGGGGAATCTTAACCCCGACCTAAGGGACTCAGCAAAAACTCCAATGCACCCCGAAGGAGGGCAAGTAATCCTCTCTCCGGGGTATGGGGCGAATAACTTAACCGATTCTGGGACCCTAATGTCCTCCCGCAGCAACACGACGTCGGCGTCGGTGAGAATACTAGGTTCCCCCAAACCATCATCCTCTGGCTCCGGCCACCAACGTCTAGGGCGCCTCCAATAATCCGGAGGGTCCATCGCATTTTCCTCCACCGTCTGATCAACTTCGGCATTATTTCTTTCTAAATTAAGGCTCTCAACGAAAAGTGGATCCCAACGATAATATTCCCGCGCCCAATCAATTTCTTCAGGGATAATAAACTTCGTCGATACCGTCCTACTGCTATCACTACTAGACACTACCTCTTTTTCGCTCACGCCCGCCATGTTTTAGATTCAAAGAACTATCAACAAAAATCGAAAAAGAAACTAAAATTCAAACCGACTTACACGTAATTCGCAAGCCCTAGAAGTAAACGGTAACGATCGACGAAGAAGTACACAAAAAAGACTAGTGAATTGGAGTGCAGAAGAGCAAGAAACTGCAAATTCAGAAAATTTGTGTAAGTAAAATCCACAGAAAAAGACATCCCTGCTATTTATAACCCTTGAATTCCAATCGTTAAATTTTCAAAGAGGGGCGTGTGCAATGAACACGCCCTTTGACGACACAACGTTTCAGAATTCCCATTAATACATGTGGACCAATGGTGAACCGTCACGTCCTCCCTAAGATAGTATCTATTAGTCCTACTAAATGCGGACACGTCTTTTCACAGCCACCACGTCTGCAGACGATCGTTACGCTGTTTCGACTCCCCAGAAAGTGCTACCAAAAAATCCTAAGTGTTGAGACCTCAGATTACAAAGTCAAGTCGGAATGTCAAAATCTTTAGGTCGGTTTTTCCTATCAATAACAACGACATCAGCGACCATCACCTCATGTATGCCCGCTAATGCCGGGGGCCTCTATGTCGACAACCGACTTAAAATGTTCCTTATAAATGATATAATGAATCAGTTAAATCAGCTTCCAGTGATAACCACTATTTCCCGACTCTTCGCAAGGCTCTCGACTCCTCTACTCGTGTACCGAGAACCGACTTGACCGACCCCCAAAGCTGGTGACTAAGCATAATTCTGATTGGACCGAGTCCAGAAACATAATCATTACACTTCCTTCGATAATCGGGTCACCGCATCATAAAGAAGATCTGCATTAAATGCGATCCTATCTACCTCGTACGAAAAGTCAAAGCCCTCACGACTATAAATAGCAGGATTCACTGTAATAGAAGGGATCGAATTCTCGATACTCAATCATACTATATCGGTTACTTCACAAGACCGACATTTTATATACAAAATAAATAATATCAATATAAATACATAAACTTTTCCTCGTTTTAGTTACGCATATTGTGGTTGTTAAATTTCGCATAACAACAGGGGAATCTCGGCGTCGGGCCTCCAATGCCTAAGTCAATATCAGTCCAAAACTCCAAATCCCAAGAGAATAATAATGAATGTAGAGAGAATGAGAGAATGAGATATCTTAGCCCACTTTTATAGGGGAAATGTAACTTATGGCCCAAGTTGGACTTGCCCAATACCATCATGCCACGTGTCCTAGTCTATGTGTACGTTTATTCTCCAATATATTCCTTTTTATCCATTAAAGCCGGTCTTCTGATTAAATCCAGTTTAGTATAATATCCTATATCACACTTTATCTATTATTTTCGTCTGTCTGTCGCATAATATATTGCATAATTTGGTTCGCAATTTGTGGGGGGAAAAGTTAATTTATTATTTGGCAGTGTGAAAATAGTTATTTCCTTAAAAAAGTAAACTTGAACTTTATGTTCACAAAAGGTTTCTGACGACATTGTTATGTAGGCTGTGTTTGGTAAAACTACCTGATAGCTGATAAGTTTGCTTATAATTTATAAGTAATTTTCGAGCTTATAGATTATGACTTATAGCTAAAAAGCTAGTTTATACGGTAAAAGTGTTAGGTAAAATTAGCTGATAAGCTAGCTGAAATAAATATTTCAATGAACTTATTTGAAAAGCTACCCAATGAAGCTTTTGAGATAAGGTCGAGCTTTTTGCAAAAGTTCGTCCTACTGAACGAAGCTTATTTGAGTACAGGGCGCTTATAAGCTAACCAAAAAGTTATAAATTAGTTTATTTATCTACCAGACAAAGCCGTAAGGGGTTGCTTGTGATAGTACGAGTGTTGAGTAAAAATTTTAACAATTATTACATACTTTCCATAGTTTATGTATATTTATCAAGCGTCTTAAAAAATCAGACTGTTCAATAGTTTGATCAAACTACTTGTTCAATGGTTTATTGGTCAAGTCAAGGGTTGAACAAGTTGGACCGATATGTACTTTATTAATATTTTGTAATAAAATATTATATACAAAAACATTATTAGTTAAATATGTTAACAACTTAAGACATTTAAATACATGAACTAACTAATAACAACTAGATAGGCATGTAATGAGTCTATGCATGAATGACTTTTAGAACAGTTTGACAAAGCCACCCAACCTAACTAATAGAGCATTTATTGGATGGATGATTATCGTATCATCAATAATGCAATTTAATCGTGTAATTCGCAAACAATTGTTAGATATCTAGCGTTTGTACAGACGATGATGACAACCCCAATAATACTAAGAGAGATTTCATACAATCATAAAATGCTAATAAATTCTTCTTTAAGATATATGTCTACACACCAACATATACACATGATTAATAAATGGTCCCCAAGTACCATTACAAATAAGAGCTATACAAGGCACAGATTATTTTTCAACGGTTATGTACAAGGAAGCCACCACTTCCATAGAAAACTACACATTGAATAAAATACAATAGAAGCCTCACCCATATTCGTATCAAGCGCTGAAACCTCGAGAAAGGGAGCTCCAAGGATTGGAAGGGAAGTTAGCGCAGGCTTGAGCCGATGCCTCGGCCATTTGCTCTTTCGTAATGCCCGCGTTACATATGTTGGCAACCAATCGCATGTGTTTCATTCCGTACTGTGATAAGGACCCACACTGCGTCTCAAATGTCCTAACCTGTTTAGCATAGTATATATATGATTGATTACAAGAAATATCAGCTTGTCTCTTAGAGTTACAATAACAACAAGATTTGTCTTTGTTACACGAATAGAGTCGTCAAGTTAACTGAATTTTGTGGACATACGATGATTTTTGCAATTGGACGTGGGAACAAAGAGGATTCATGTAGAGAAATTTTGTTCTGGCACGTGATAAAACATAATAAACTAAATAGAAGCAAGGGGCTAAACTTTTGATATGTTTACCATAGATTTAAGGCAATTCCAGTCATCAACAAGAGGGTGGCCAGCAGGTCGTGCGGATATCATCATTTGTGGACCCTTGTCGATTCCAAAAAGAAGTTTCCCAATCAGCTTAAAGCTGTCATCGATGTGTGCGCGGTGAGCCATGGCTTCTGCAAGCTGCTTTTGAGCTTCAGATTTTCTGTCAGAGCCTTCTGGAGCTTTCCTGAACTGAAGAGTGGTGGAAAACGAATCATTTTTTACATGTAATTATGAAAAGCTAGGTTGTCTACTTACAGTAATTCTTTTTGTTTTGCAGTAGGTACAAGTACCTTATGCCAGAAATGTAAAAGATCAGCATCCCGCTGGTTAATAGCTTCAGAAGATGGGTGAAGAGAATTATCATCCACATATGTATAATTGTCATTCGCAGGATCTGTGCCCATATACACGAAGAGATTCTCCGCACTCAAATTCAGATCACCATATTGCATGACGTGCGAACCCATGTAAGAGTTGTCCTTTGCTGTCCGCTTTTTGACCTGAAAATATTAACCAACTCGGATTTAATTAGAATTATCAAACGAACCAAAAAACAATTAAAATGGTATATCAGAAAAGAGGCGTTAGGACGAGAGTCCACACACGTCGCCTTCAATAAAATGATTTGAATTTAGCGTAATATATGCAGAGGGACAGTTTGATGGTATCTTCTTACGAGTTGATACTGCTGATTCAAAGTTTCAGTCCGAAGATTGTGTACGTCGCTGTATAGTACCAGAATGCAAATATTAGTGTTTTTTCTACCTCTCTCTCGTTGTAAGAAAAAAAGAATGTAATTTGAGAAGTAGAAGTGATATGGGATACCTATCTTCCATCCAAGCAACACTATAGAGATCACCCAAGCAGGTTTCGTATTCAGGGGGAGGAGCAGGGTACTGGCCAGGGCAATAAGTGCCCCAGCTACTCTCATATGCATTAGATGCCGTCGTCACGTATATATCCAAATCTCGTTCAAGAAGACCTTCAAATATACTCCCAGATTCACAAGCTTCCACGTAAAAAACCTATAACACACCAATCTCAAATATTTTCATCTTTCTTTCTTTTTTCTTGGTTTCTTGTTTATAATAGAATATAATATAATTTGTTCACCAAGCTCTTGTATGTTCCAGAATCATGCTTCTTCTTCAAGACCTTGTTTAGATCATCGGCGTATATATAAGGACCGGTGGGCATCCCTGAGAACATCATGAGATTTTAAGTTTACATGAACAATTGATAAGAGATTCAATTAAAAACGAGAAGATCGAGTTGAGATTTGATTACGAACCGAGTATTCCAGGACCACCATGATCGGTATAATAGACAAAGATACGATCGTTGGGAGAACTGTCCACGACCTTTCCACTACCTCCAGTGAGTGCAGTTTTGTTGCCAAGAAGAACAGCGTAAAAGTTGTTTGCTGTCACTTCATCTCCAACGTAATCCTGTTTCAAAAAACTCCTGTCAGTTTCGATTTCCACAAGAATTGATGCATGATCGAAACGAAAGATAAACATAAACAGAAACCTTCGGAACTCCGTGGTACACATCGTGACCACTCGGGTTGTTTATGATGACACCTGGCCTCGGGTTGTCCGGGTTGTAGGCAATGTCGTCATACATAAAAACAATGATATTTTCTTCCTTGAGGCCACCCTTCTTCAATATTTGATATGCATGGCATACATCAGCCTATATCATATCATATCATATCATCAAAGGACTTCAAAACAGAACAAATATAGTTGAGTTTCTACATATGGATATGGTGTTCTGTTCCATAAAAATAGATTAGCCTTAAACAGAGTACTTAATTTATACAATAGTTTATTTAGAGATTAGTAATTATTGATGCTTCTAACGTTAGGCTGTATAGAGAAAAACAAAGAATTCCCCCCTCTCTGGACAGCCCCTGCAGTTAATACGCCCATATCTGATTAGCATCCATATTAGTATTTAATATTATCCTTTCCTTTTTATTTTTTTTAACATCTCTATGAAGAGATTAATTTTTTAAAAATATTCTAATTGGTTTTAATGATATAGTCACCATTAAAAATCGCATTAATAATTGCTATAAGAATCATTTAAATATTTTTTTATATAAAATAGTTAATTGGTCCCCATCCCTCAAGATTATAAGAATTATTTTCGTTATAAGAATTATATTCGTCATTATGCTTTATGCAATCAATATAGTGATTCACAGATAGATAAATAATATAATTTATTTAGTTTTTTTTGTTATCAATTTATTTATTTATTTTTTTTTTAATTTTTTTTTTTTGTTTTAGATGGGATACAATTACCTAACTTATAATTTTAGTATATGTATAATGTTTGTGTACTTGCACAAATTAGAGGAAGATAAGGATGGGGATGGAATTATTTTATTTTTTAACTTGTTTTGGTTATATATGGTTGTTTGTGTTTTTCTTTCCATTATTATTATAGGTGATGTTTATTCTCAATTATTGGAGTTGTTGAGTCCGTTTTATGTTTATAGTTCCGTAATTATTCTATCGAGGTATGGGAGTTTATAACTGTTAGATCATATGTCTATGACGATTATATGATGATCTAACGGTTACAAACCCCGACAAAATAGTTCCACAACAGGACCGTAACATCTCCTATTTCATAAACTATCTTGTAATTATATTTATTTGTATTAATAAATTTAGAGTTTTTTTTTTCTTTTTTTCTAACTAAAAAAAGTTAGATTATGTCAGACAAC